TAGCGATTCGGAAGTAGTTTGTCACTCTTTCTTCCTAGTCTGTCTTTGTTTTGTAGCTCATCTGAAACCTTTCCACCATGGGTGACCCTGCTGGTTATCCAAAACACCGGTGGTATAGCCCTCAGAATCACAGCAACTCAATCCACCACAGCACGACAGACAGACGAGTTCCTACTCTTAGCGACCTTATATAGGGTTTCCGAGGAGCAGCTGGTGGGTTTGAACTGCTGACCTTGTGATTTGCAGTCCAGTGCTGACCCTACAGCACCACACCAGGAGTCCAGTTTCATGATTAGCCAGGAGTATACCTACAGTATTTTTATCCACAGTTTTTTCTTCCACGCTGACTTATTCATGCTAGTCTGCCAGATGTTACTTCTAATTTGGATTCTTTAACATTTTGCTTTTTTAACATGAACTTTGAAAAAAAAATAAATCCTTTAAAGTGCTTATTGACTACTTAGGAGCTGAGTGCTTACTACCATCTAATTTTTTAATGACAAAAATAATTAATATGCTTAAAGTTAAAATAATCTTTTAAAAATTGAAGGCCATTTCTTGGAGGATGAATGACAACTTTTTGTAACCTTAAATGGTATTTAAAACTAGGAGTGTTTGAAGTTATCATAAGTGGCTCTCTGATCATCATTTTTTGACTATTGTCTTACTTCCTTAAAGTACAACATGTCGGTTCATGTCAAATATCACATTTGTTAAATGTCAGCATTTTGTTTTCTAATAGCCTTCTAAATGCTTTAAATCATATAAACATGGTAATTGACTCTACTACTCTTTTTAAAAATTAATATATTATTTGTTTTTTCTAGGATCTTAATTTATATCTTGAAGATAAAGTCTACCTTACAGGCTATAACTTTACGTTAGCAGATATCCTGTTATACTATGGACTTCATCGTTTTATAGTAAGTATTTGAATAGTTACTGCTTTTATTCCCCTACCATTGAGAATGGTTCTTGTTAAATTTAGATATTTATCTTCTGCTTGTCAAATTTCCTTTTTCAATTTACAAAACAAAAATGAGAGGAATTGTGCAAAAATTCCTTCCATATATCCAGCTAACATGGTGTCTTTCGTGACCTGCTTAATTCTCAATCATTACTTCCACTCTTTCAGCAACTACTTACCTACCACCCTTTGAACTTAATTGTCATCATAGAGTTCCACCTCTGGGTCATCAGTCCATAGCCCACCTTCTGTGCTGCAGCCTCTGTCCTCGCTCTTTCCTTACTTTCTTACTCCCTAGTCCCACTACTAGCAAAGTAACCTGTCTCCTTTCTTCCCCATCCAGCCCAGCCCCCTTGTGTATCACTTCAACTCCATCTTCTTACTGTACCACGTCCCTGTAAATCCACAACTCTTGATCAGTCCACATAAGTGCCTTTATTCTTATGTTCAAGTGGCACCCTATTGTGTTGTTGACATTAATTGCTGTGGAATTGGTTCCAACTCATAGTGACCCTGTATAAGATTTCCAAGGAGCGGCCGGTGAGCTTGAACCACTGATTCGCGTTTAAAACTGACCTTGAAGTCTAGCACATTAACTCGTGGCGCCACACCAGGACTCCCAGAACTATGGATTGGTGTCCCTCAGGTTTATATCCCATTCAGCTAGACTCTTGCCCTGATCAGGTCTTTCATTCCTTTCAAGGATAATTCCAAACCTTAGCCACTTGCCCCATTCAGGTCACTCTTCCTGTTCTATCTCAGTCACCATCAGATGGCCTTCCTCCTTCTTTCCCAGCCTGCCTGTTTGCTTGCATGTCCTCAGCCAGCCTGTCTCATTTTCTAGTCTAAGAAAGGACCATCTTGCTTTTCTCTCCGGCTAGCCCATTCATCTTCCTCTTCCTTCTCCCCTGTCTGGATCTTGTCCTAAACTCAGTGTCCTGTCTTTCTCATGTCTTTAGTTGTTCCCTCCATCTGGTCAATCCTTTTGTTGAAAATGATGTTCCATCTTATTTACAAGCATTTATGTGATGCGTATTATGTTCTAGGCACATATGTTCAATATGTTTTGTAAATGTGAACTCATTTAATACTTTTACTAGCCCTATGAGATCAGTACTAATAACGTCATTCCCATTTCACAGGGTAAGGTAAATGAGTCACAAGGCAGTCAAATATGTTTACAATAGTAGGAAGTAACAGAGCCAGATCCGGATACTAGGCAGTCTGCTCCAACATTTGTGCATTTTAACATCTGCATTTTCATCAACTCAACTTGCCATCACTCATCTTCTTCCGCTGTGAAAGGGAAGACCCCATACATGTCTCTGTATTCTTCACCTCATGCATCTCGTCAGTCAGGCACTGTGGTGGGTACAACTCATATAGGTCATTGTTCAAGTTCCTGAACTCACTGTGTTTCTCTAGGCTGCTGCAACAGCCTCCTGCCCCTAGTCTCATCTCTTAATCTCCAGCTTTATTGCCAGTGGAGCAGTCTTTCAGTATGGTAACGTGAACATACCTTTTCTATCTCAAAATAAATTAAGAAGTGCTTCAAAAAGCTCTGGTAGCATAGTGGTTACCAGTCAGACTGCTAACCTCAGGTTCAGCAGTTTGAAACTACCAGCTGTTCAGCAGGAGAAAGATGAGGCTTTCTGATCCCGTAAGGATTTCCAGCCTCGGAAACCCTGTACAGGGTTGCTATGAGTCAGAACCAACTCGACAGCCCAATGTCATCGTCTTCTGTGTTCATTCCCACTCTGTTGCCTGGAAGAAGTTCTCTATCTGACCTCTGCACCTTGCTAGCCTCAGTCCTCTCACTCTCCCCTACACATTTAGATTTCATCCAGAATATACTCTCTGGTCCCAGCCCCTATCCGCCTCCCAAATTCATTTCTGTTGCGTCAGACTTCAGCTCACTTCCACACTAATTCCTTTGTTGACACCGCTGACTTCAGAAGCATAATGAGTTGGTATTTCCTCTGTGTCTACCTTGTATATCGCATCAGTTAAAGCATGTTTGCTTTTTTCTATTCTCTAAATTATGAAGTGCTTTAGCAAGAGATTGTAGCAATTCATATTTGTAACAACACTATCTGATATAATTAATTCATGGCACACATATACAGTCTGCCCCCCACAAATGCTGAATCGATGATTGTTATGTTAGTTTGCTAGCCTATCCCTTTATAATTGTTAAAGTGCTCCTGTGTACATTCCCTCAGGACCTTAGAATAGGGCAGTGTTGTCGTCCTCCTCTTACACAGAGGCAAGCTTATACTTAGGAAGGTCAGGTGACTTACACAGACTCCTCTGGGCCTTCTAACTCAAGTATCACAATGTTTTTAGGAAGCCCATTGTAGATTCTAGATTACCGTCATAGTATCTGGTACAATTTTTCTTAGGCGCCCCACCTTCAAACTATAAAACTTCTATTTGGATTTACTCAGCTTTATTAAGAATTCTTTCTCTCAGATATTTAAGTGATTTTGTTCATGTCCACACATTATTGTAATAGCTTATGTGATCCTGAGCCCTGCTATGATGCTGTATGATAAGCACTAGGCAGCTACCTACAAGAGCAGCAGCCTCTTGGAAACCCCATACAGAATCACTATACATAGGAATCACTATATGTAGGCGTATAACAACAACAACAGTGTGATCCCAACTCAGGATGATACAAGGGGGCTTCAAAAGTTTATGGGAAAATTCCATTATCTTTTTTTTTTAATGTTTTATTGGAAATTATGTGATATTTACATGGGAGAACATTAGTTTTACATTCATTCTATTGTGTATCATTTCATTGCCATGGTTACAATCCCCTCCATGCATCAGCAACCAACCAAAGGGTATACCCTGCAAGCCTACCCACCCACCCCACCCACCCCCGAGTTTTCAACATCCCTAGCTGCTCCATCTCTCCATGTCATCGTCTCTGCCTCCATCTCAGGCATCACTGCTTCTCTAGGTAGGGCCCCGCTCTCCGCTATTCTCCGTTGATAGTCCTACGGACCTCCGCTCCTAGACTGGAAAGTTAATCACTCCCCTCCTTGCTATAAAACGTCTACCTTTACATTTCCAACCCTCACAATCAGTCCTGATAACAATTATTCACTATTGTATCACAGGAGACCCAACCGCATTTCATTTCATCAGCCCCACCTAGACAGATTGGATACTACTCAGCGGAGATTCTACCTTCCTCCATGCCCTCTGAATCTAGATTCCCTCTTGAAAGCTTGTAAGCCAGTCACTTCTTGCCTTTGTAGCCCCCACCCCAACCCCCCATTTTGGGTAGCCAATGTCCAAGTTGCCCATCCCTGTCTACTGTTATGTGTGGAGGTGGTGGGAATGATTCTTGCTATCATTTGTTCCCTCTTTTGAGGATTTGTTCCCTCTTTTGAGCTATTGCATCCATAGGTATAGGTCAAGTTCATCAAATTGTATCAGATTACTCTTTTTTTCCTCTTCTTTCTTCTTCTGGTTGAACTCTGATCATCCAGTCATTGAAGCCAGGTCAAGTGGGTATTATCTGCAAGTGTGGATGTTCTTGTGCATATGCTCTCTCTTCTTATCAGCTGGATGCTTCACTCTCCACTCTAGTCCTCTGTGGCTATGTCACTGACTCTGAGCCCAAGAGTCCCCAGGTCTTGCAACACTGCTAGCCAACCAGGTCTTCACCCGGGTTCACAGAAGTCTGTTGAACATTGTAGGGCTTAGCTCTCTGCTTCATTGCTGCTTTTCCCTAACTTCCCCTTATCAGTGACGAGCATGGTCACCAATCAGAGCGTGTATTCCCATTGAGTCTTAGTCTTGGAAGGGGGTTTGCTCTGAGGGGACCCAACTACTTGCTTGATGTTTCCTGGGCAACCAGCATGTTTGGTCTTGTAGTAACAGTCGTTCTGCCTCTATTGTTTTGTATTTTTCCTGTAGGTCTTTCTTTCAAGAAGTATCTTGTTTCTCTAGCCGCTCCAGGCTGGTCTGCTCCTCCTTTCAAGTGGAAATTTCCTATCTCTGGAGATCTGGATGTGGTTCAGGTTTCCACTTACAGTCTTATGTATTGCAGAGGCTCCCCAGGAAGCCTCCTTCACTGGACACGTTGTAGCCCCATTTTAGGTATTCCAATCAGTTATAGGCAGAAGACGGACTTACAAGCTTTCTATGGTGAT